CCTTGAAAAGAAAACCTGCACAACTTCTGAAAAGAGCTGAATGAAAAAAAGAAAAAAATGAGATTATAAAATATAAAGTAAAATAAATAAATAAATAAAAAAGAAAACCCATACCCTTTCGGTATAACTCCCCTATTCCTCCATCCCCACCTCAAAGCCCCTCCCTTCCACCCCCACCTTCCACCCCCGCCCTAAAGAACCACTAATCTGGGCCTGGCACGGTGGCTCACGCCTGTAATCCTAGCACTCTGAGAGGCCGAGGCAGGCGGATTGCTCGAGGTCAGGAGTTCAAAACCAGCCTGAGCAAGAGCAAGACCCGCGTCTTACTATGAGGAAAGAAAGAAATTAATTGGCAATACTATAGTATATACAAAAATTTAGCTGGCATGTGGGTGCAATGCTGTAGTCCCAGCTACTTGGGAAGCTGGAGGCAGGTCGCTTGGCCAGGAGATGAAGGGTTGTGCTCGGAGCGAGCTGTGCGCCAGGGCGCGCCCTCACTCGTAGCCTGGGCACACAAAGGTGAGAGGTGGTGTCTCAAAAAAATAAATTAATTAATTAAATTCAATTAAATAAAGAACCACTAATCTACATGTAGTCATTTGTGTCTGGCTTCTTCCACTTAATATAATGGTTTGTTTGTTTTGAGACAGGGTCTTGCTCTGTTGTCTGAGCTAGAGTGCACTGGCATCATCACAGCTCACTGCAACCTCAAACTCCTGGCCTCTATTATCCTCTCGCCTCAGCCTCCTGAGTAACTGGGACTACAGGTGTGTGTCACCACAACCAGCTAATATTTATTTATTTATTTACTTTTGTAGCGACAGGGTCTCCAACTCCTGGCTTCAAGTGATCCTCCCACCTTGACCACCTTAAGTACTAGAATTACAGATGTGAGCCATCATGCCTGGCAACATAAGGTTTTAAAGAGTCATCCATGCTGCAGCATGTGTCAGTACTTTGTTCTTTTGTATGGCCAAATAATATTCCATTGTATGAATATACCATGTTTTCTTTATCCATTTATCAGTTAATGCACATTTCAGTTGTTTCTATTTTTCAGCTATTATGAATAATACTGCTACATACATTTGTTTACGGATATATACTTAGGCTTCTCTTGGGTACAATTTTATTCTCTAGGGCCATATAGTAACTGTATCAGCCAATTCACTTTAAAAGTCAAGAAATCGAGCCGGGCGTGGTGGCTCACGCCTGTAATCCTAGCACTTTGGGAGGCCGAGACGGGCAGATTGCTCAAGGTCAGAAGTTCGAAACCAGCCTGAGCAAGAGTGACACCCCGTCTCTACTATAAATAGAAAGAAATTAATTGGCCAACTAATATAGATAGAAAAAATTAGCTGGGCATGGTGGCACATGCCTGTAGTCCCAGCTACTCGGGAGGCTGAGGCAGCAGGATCACTTGAGCCCAGGAGTTTGAGGTTGCTGTGAGCCAGGCTGATGCCACACACTCACTGTAGCTTGAGCAATAACGTGAGACTCTGTCTCAAAAAAAAAAAAAGAAAAAAAAAAGTCAAGAAATCTAGGACTGCAAAGAGAAATGATGTACTTAAGGTTTACAGCAAGGTAGAGACAGAAAGAAGCAAGGCTAGACCCCACATCTTCTAATTCCAAGTACAGGACTCTCTCTGCCATTTTCCAGTGGCTCCATGTAGCAAGACTTCCAGTCTCAGGTCATGCAGTAGACTGTTAGTTTCATGTTAGTCAATGTGGGACTCACTCAGAAGCAAACAGACAACAGGTGAAAAGGCAAAGAACCCACATTTATTGAGCACCAGTTGGTTCCAGGCATTACGCTAGACTTTATTTATTTATTTAAGACAGAGTCTCGCTTTGTTGCCCAGGTTAGAGTGAGTGCCGTGGCATCAGCCTAGCTCACAGCAACCTCAAACTCCTGGGCTCAAGCGATCCTCCTGCCTCAGCCTCCCGAGTAGCTAGGACTACAGGCACATGCCACCATGCCCGGCTAATTTTTTTCTATATATATTTTTTAGTTGGCCAATTAATTTCTTTCTATTTATAGTAGAGATGGGGTCTCGCTCTTGCTCAGGCTGGTTTCGAACTGCTGACCTTGAGCAATCTGCCCGCCTCGGCCTCCCAGAGTGCTAGGATTCCAGGCGTGAGCCACCACTCCCGGCCTATGCTAGACTTTTAACATTTCCAATCTGTGGCCAAATGGCATGATAGTTGCCCACTTTTTAAATGTCAGCTGGACACTGACAACCTCAAACAAATGCCCAGCTAGTAAGTTGTGAAGTTACTACAAAGAGCAATTGGGCAATATCTACTAAATTGAAGATGGAAATTAGAAGATTTTCATATTTTCTTTGATCCAGCAATTCAACTCCCAGGTATATAACCTAGAGAACACTCCCTTTGAGTTCATGGAGATATTAGTGAGAATCTTTATGGCCCTATTGTTTCCAATATTAAAAATCTGACTGGCCAAGTGTGGTGGCGCATGCCTGTAGTCCCAGCTACTCAGGAGGCTGAGACAGAAGGATCACTTGAGCCCAGGAATTCAAGGCTGCAGTGAGTTATGAGTGCACCATTGCACTCCAGCCTGGGTGACAGAGTGGGACCCTGTTACTATATATATATATTTCCTGATGTCCATCAAAGGGAGAATAAATAAATAAATATATGCAATGTGGTATAATCATTAGTGTGATATCATACCAGCATTACCAATGACTGAGTAGACTTATAGACACCCTTATAGACACATATAAAATCAATGTTGAGGGGGAAAAAAGTTAGAGACAATTACGTTGAAATAGTATAATTTATTATAAAATTTTAAAACATGTATAATAATATTATATAGTTTCATATGTGTAGCAAAATTTAAAAGGCATGCATGGGAATGGTAAATGACAGATGCAAAGTTAAATAACCTCAGTGGGTGAGGAAGGAGAATGTATGGAGTGTTTATAGAAGGCTTAAATTGTATCTGCAATGTATATTTTAAGGGTTTTTTGTAAGTACAAGATGGTATTTATATTTTTCTGTATACCTTTTGTATATAGAAAGTTTGTAATAAAACAAATATAAATAAAAGACTCTCTCTCTCTCTTTCTCTCTCCTCTCTCTCTCTCTCTCTCCATATATATATATATATATATATTTTGGGGGCTTTTTTTGTTTTGAGACAGAATCTCGCTTTCTTGCCCGGGCTAGAGTGCTGTGGTGTCAGCCTAGCTCACAGCAACCTCCAACTCCTGGGCTCAAGTGATCCTCCTGCCTCAGGCTCCCAAGTAGCTGGGACTACAGGCATGTGCCACCATGCCCGGCTAATTTTTTCTATATATATTAGTTGGCCAATTAATTTCTTTCTATTTACAGTAGAGATGGGGTCTCACTCTTGCTCAGGCTGGTTTCGAACTTCTGAGCTCGAGCAATCCACCCGCCTCGGCCTCCCAGTGTGTAGGATTACAGGTGTGAGCCACCATGCCCGGCCCTATATATATCAGTTAAGATGGTTATGCTGCAGTAACAACCCCAAAGCTCAGTGGCTTAAAACAACAAAAATTTATCTTAAATGCTATTATACATATCCAATGCAGGTCAGCACTAATGCAGGTTTATAAATAAGACAGTGTGTCAGTCAAGGTAGGTTTTGCTGCAGGAACAACCACCTCAAAGCTCAGTGGCTCAACATTACAAACATTTATTTTACATGCTATATATTCAAGGCAGGCCAGCACTAGGTTTATGTTCATTGCACTCCTTCAACCAATGATCCTTTACCGCAGAACAGTAGGAATGGAAGATTGTGGATGAATCCATGGCTCTTAATGCCTGCCAAAGGCACACACATCACTTTCACTTATATATCAGTCAAAGAAAATCACATGGCCTCAACCGACTTAAAATAAAAAGTGTAATCCTATCATGTCTTCAAAACTAACAGAAAATTTAGGCATGATCAAAATGTTTAGGCATCTCCTATACTACCCTTCTAAGAAAACCATTTAAGGATGTTTTCAAACTCCTCCATATTTCTTTTCTCGGTGGATTTCACAACATTTCTCAAGTTCTATACAGGAGAAAGAGGGATGGTCCAGAGAAGTACAGTGACTTATCCAAGGTCACACAGCCAGGAATGAATACATCGGGTCGTTAGGAGGAGCCCTGTCCTTGGTGCTGCCAAAAGCCCTCGTCTTTGAGCTGTCCTCCCAAACATCACATCAACTTTCTGGTTTTTTGCTTCCTCCCAGGACCACCTGTGTTGCACTGAATATCTTTCTTTACATAGACTTTTAAAAACCTAACATTTATAAACTTCGCATCATTACTTTATCACGAGCCACACACAGATGGTAACCACAAAATGCTTACTGAAAACAAAGGTTCTTCAATGCTAATGAGCCTCCCTTGACCACCAGAGCCTCGGCTCTGCTTGTGTTGGTCAATAGGGACGTCCGAAATTGTTTCCAGGGTGTTACAGAACCCCACAGCCCTCGCGGGGCACCGACAGGTAACTAGAAGAGGGAACAAACTCCCTTCGCCCCGGGATTCGGCCTGCCTAGGAGCGCCCCGCCCCCGCCGCCGCCGCGCCACGCCCCCCACTGCCCTGCAGCGCGCATGCCCAGTAGTTCGAACGCAGCTCGAGCCCCGCCCCCTTTCAGAGCAACCATTGCCTTGGGGGCGGGGCTTAGGCACAAGATGGCCGCCGCGCGCTTGGAGCCCCTGAGTCCGAGCTCACCGACCCCAGAGTCGCGTTCCCCGGAGCCGCCGGACCTGGTGCGGGAGAGGAAGGGGCCTGGGGGTTTGAGGAGGGAGAAGTCGCAGTGCAGGGGGCGGGGTCGGAGCGAGGACGGGGAAAGTCTTTAGGGCTCTGGCCCTGGGGGTGGGGCTTCTCGGGCTTGAGCGGGGGGCGGGACTTAGGGACGACCCTATGGGGAGGTTGGTAGGAGAGGGGCGGGCCCTGGGGGCGGGGCCTGAGGACGGTGTTGTCTGTGCGGTGAGTTTGGGTCCAGGGAGAGGGGTCCCAGAGATTTAGTTTGCATAATAAGGGGGAGGAGCCTTCAGAGACATTCTGGGGCCGGTAAACTTGGGTGGAAGGTTGGGAAGGTGACCCTGAAAGGTTGGAGGGTTATAATCGGGGTACCCATGTGGGGTGAGGAGATGATTCTGCAAGGGTACGAGTAATGCACCTCAAATGCCCAAAGGAGGATTTAGGGATAGAAGTGGATGTTCCAGGTGACTTTGGAACCTCCTCCACGTTCCCTCACTCAGGATTGGAGAGTAACTGCAGATATTCATCCATTCAGCATTTACTTAGCTCTTTCTTGGGCCATGTAAAGAGGGGTGCCCAAGACAAACAAGGGCTGTGTTCTCTTGGAGTTAGTAGTTTCGTGAAGGGAGAGAGACAGTAAATGGGATTTACTGCAATATGTTCTAGAAAGGAAATAAAGTAAGCCGATAGGGTGGGGGTGGGGTAGCTAAATTTAGATGAGCGACGTCAGCTGGGCGCTGGCTTTATTTATTCTGAGGTCAGAGAAAGAAGCAGGAGCGAGATCATGGTGGATATTACAGCGATGATTTGGGGTTTTAAGTGCAGCTGGAGCCACTGGAGGGTTTTGAGTGGGAACAATGACTTGATCTGGTTTACATTTTCAAAAGATAATTTAGGATACTCGAGATGGATTATAAGGAGGTAGGAATAGTAACAGACTCCCCTTTAGGAGGTTTTTTCAGTGTGAAAGCAAGAATTGATGGGAGTTTTAACTAGGGTGGAGGGGAGGAAAGACTGGATTCACGCTGTATTTTGGACAGGAGGGGAAATGGTGGGGATGCAGCAGAATCCCAGAGAACGGAGAACAGGATCTGGAAATTGACGGGAGCAGTAGGCTGCAAGGGAGCCAGATGTTTTAATAAATGGGGACATTTAGGGAGGTTTTGAGGCAGGGTCCACAAGCTCCACTTTCTTGTCTCCCTGCTCAGGTCCTGGTGCCTGATGATGGCCGCCCTGCCACACCCCCCAGTGACCTCATCGAGATTCAGGTGGTGAAGGTGACCGACACCACCCTGGTACCCGAGCCCCCGGAGCCAGGTTCTTTTCACTGTGCCTTGTGCCCAGCTGCCTTCCGGCTGGTTTCCGAGCTACTGTTCCATGAACATGGCCACCTGGCAGGGGCTGAGGGAGGCGGACAGGCTGGGGACCCAAGCCGGTGTCATGTGTGCGGCCACAGCTGCCCGGGTCCCGCCAGCCTCCGTGCCCACTACAGCTTGCACACGGGAGAGCGGCCCTACCGCTGCCCGCGCTGCCCCCGCGCCTTCAAGGCCTTGGCACCTCTGCTCCGGCACCAGCACCGACACGGGGTGGAGCCGGGGACCTCTCGGAGGCCTCCGGAAGCAGCAGCAGTTGGAGAACAGAGGCCGGGGGTGCCCCAGGAGAGGTCGGAGGTGGTGATGGCGGCGGCGGCTGCAGGTGCGGCAGTGGGGAAGCCTTTCGCCTGCAGGTTCTGCGCCAAGCCCTTCCGCCGCTCCTCAGACATGCGAGACCACGAGCGCGTGCACACGGGTGAGCGGCCCTACCACTGTGGCATCTGCGGCAAGGGCTTCACCCAGTCCTCGGTGCTGAGCGGCCACGCCCGCATCCACACGGGCGAGCGCCCCTTCCGCTGCAGCCTCTGCGATCGCACTTTTAACAACTCCTCCAACTTCCGCAAGCACCAGCGCACCCATTTCCACGGGCCGGGGCCTGGGTTGGGAGACTCTGGAGGCCAGCTGGGGTCCTTGGTGGCTGAGGGGTCTGGGAGTGGGTGTGGGGCAGGGAACCCTCTGGAAGAGGGGGGCGGGGAGACAGGGAAGGTGAAGGTGGAGGTTGACCAGTAGGCTGGGAGAGCCAGCTGTGAGGCAGTTAACGTCGCCTGTAGGTAGACTGCAAGGGGGTGGGGATGGGAAAAAGGCAGGGGACAGAAGAGGGGAGATTGGGGGAGAGAAGACATGACAGATAATGGGAATAGCCATGAGCAGCTACCGTTGAAGAGCAGAGGGAGAGAACCAGGTTCCAGACTCCCACAGACCCACACAGCGCCTCCGGGAGACTCAGAGAAAGGGACAGGTACTGCCTTGTGGGTGCACAGCTAAATGCAAAGACCATGGGCTGGATTTCTCTGCCCCATTTGCCTTGTTGGGTTATCCTTGTGTAAGACACAGGCTGTTACAACAGAGCCTGGGCACTGCAGAGGGGGAGCCAGGGCTCAGTGGAAGGAGGAGCATCTGGGTCCACCATAGTGGTCCTGGTCAGTCCTTCTTCTAAAGAATGCTGGGCTTTCTTAGGGGCTCCCTAGAGTGGACTAGGATGGAACCTTTTGCCTACCTCACTGGATTGCACTGCACCTGGGACACCTACCCACCCTCAGGCAGAAGACACCCACCAGGTCATCTGTAAAATGACTCTGGGATCCCATCACCTCAAAGCCAGAAGATCCCCAAGCCACAGCTGAGAGCACTTGAGCCTCAAGGCTGTAAGCCTGACCATAGCGTCTTGACTCCAAGAGTAGCTACCCTCGCCCCCATGGTGGTCCCTCCATAACCCATCCAGACTCTTCTTTGGAGGCAACTGAGAACACAGCAAGCAGCTACCTAATATCCCCCTCCCAATGCTGTAGGCTCAGAGCCTGTGGTCCTGCACTTCTACAAAGTAGCCTCGGATTTCTCTAATTCTCCACTCCCAGTTTGAAGCAAACAGCTTGCTGCCTAGTCACAGGCAATCCCAAGGAAAGGCTTGCTGATGGTGACATGGTGGACCGGCCAGGGGTGAGAGGAGGACTTGGGAGCTGGAGGTGGAAAAACTCCAGTTCTGTTCCTATTAAAGGACCTTCTGAAGGGTTTATGTCAGTCTTGTATTCTGGTGTCTGTTTTGGGGAGGTGGGTGAAGAGGAGCCACATTATGGTCTTGCAACCAGCAGTGAATTGTATCATACCATTCTCTAAACCTGTTTCCTCATTTTTAGAATGGCGGTGAATAGGCTTCAGCTATTTGGAGATGTTATGTGGTTCATTGGAGGGGGAGAAGGAATAAGAGATTTGGCAAAATGAAAGGACTCCTGTGATTGGCATGCTTGTTGAGGAGGGAGAGTCCCTGATTTGCACACATTTCTGTTCACCTAGTATCCCCCATGAGATAACCCTTAGACAACTCAAAAGGAACAGAACGCATTCTGTTTCCCCCAAGGAATGTCCATGTTTCCTATGCGATTGGTACCACTACCCAAGCTAGAAACTTGGACAGGTTCTTTAAGCCTTCTTTGTCCCTTATCCATGTTATCTCATCCCTTATCAGTTTCCCTCATTCAGATGGAGGCAGGGCATGGTGGCTCACGTCTGTAACACCTGTAATCCTAGCACTCTGGGAGGCCAAGGCAGGCGGATCGCTCAAGGTCAGGAGTTCGAAACCAGCCTGAGCAAGAGAGAGACCCCCGTCTCTATTTAAAAAGTAGAAAGAAATTAATTGGCCAACTAAAATATATAGAAAAAATTAGCCAGGCATGGTGGCACATGCCTGTAGTCCCAGCTACTCAGGAGGCTGAGGCAGGAGGATTGCTTGAGCCCAGGAGTTTGAGGTTGCTGTGAGTTAGGCTGACGCCACTGCACTCTAGCCCCGGCAACAGAGTGAGACTCTAAGAAAAATAGATAGATAGATAGATAGATAGATAGATAGATAGATAGATAGATAGATAGATAGATAGATAGATAGAAAGAATCTGAACATATCTTTTCATCATCACTGCTCTTGTACACCAAGCCAACAAGGGTCCCACATCCAGATAACTGGATGCAGCCTGCTCCACTCCATATGCAGCAGCCTGCTCCACTCCATACTGCAGCCACAGGTCATTGTCACCAACCCACAGCTCCTTGTGGCTTTAAGAAGAGTTCACAAATGTGAATGCCTACAGGAGCTGGTGGAAATGTAAATAAATGTGTGATGGTCAGGTTCAAGGGGAAAACACCAGTGAGGTGAAATATGGCCACTGACACTTGAGCTCAGTGTTGAGATTCAGTGAAAAGTGGTGGGGATTGGTGGCAAATTGGAGAGTGAATGCCCCACTGGAAGAGGGTACTGGCTACTTAGATCTGGGGGGGATGCAGGTCGGGTTGCTAGACCTTCCGGATTTTTCAGAAGTTCCATTAGTTCACATCATGTAAAACCTTTTGATTTCCCAATGTTGGCAACTGAGTCAAATTTCATTTTTTTAAAATGCACAGAGTAGATAAAATGTGTTGGTCGCCATATCCAGCCCAGCAGCTGCCAGTTTCCAGGGTTTATTCTACAAAACTGCAGGCCCCACAGCTTGGAATTCTAGACACTTCAGGACCCAGCTCCCTACACACACACACACAAACACACAAACTCAGCCTCCAGCCATACTAATCTGAAATTCTCCAGAATAGCTGGGTTTAGTTCAACAAACTAAATCTTTCACGTGGAAATCTTTGCCTACTTCTTTACCCAGCAAGTTACAGTTGCTTTATGTCATCATTCAGGCATCATTTTCTCCCCCAGGAAGCTTTTCTAGCCCCCACCCCCATCTGATAAGGTGACTTCTCTGTGCTCACTGAACCTCCAGTAATATTTCCATGCTCCTTGTGTTGTGATGCTCCACTTCCATGTCACTTTTGAACCCTGGAGCATTGGCAGAAAGTCTGTCTCATGCTGGGTCTTCAGCCTTAGGACATGGTGGCCAGCTGGAGTCACTCAGGCAGCGCCCTCTGACCCAGTTTCATCTTCAAGGTCCAGTATTGAGGTACCCTGGGAATGAAGTCCACATTCTGTGAATTTGCTGGGTGTCCTTGGAGCTCCTTTGTTCTCCAGGACCCCAGGCCCCTCTTCTGACAAATTATATAAATAAATGCACATTGCTAGGCACGTAGCTCACTGTTATGAGAACCAAAATGAGAGCTATGAGTGGCCTTTTGAATCTCCCAAATCATTGTCCTGGAGGGGCAGGTGCTGTCTACAAACTGTATAATAAACTCCAGTCTGTACAAGGCTGCAATACAGCAGTGGCCATCTAACTTGAGGCTGAGGGGCATGTCTAATTCATCTGTTTCCCCAGCGCCCAGACCAAGACCTGCAGTTAGGAGGCTTTCAGGGAATGGTGGCTGAGTGAACAAATGCCACAAGTATCACAAAAGGGAAGGGATCCAGGCACCTTAGGTTTGCTCCTGAGTGCAAAGACTTACCAGTCTCGTTCACGTCCATTTGCCCAACTCAGACTAGCTTGGAATATGGTCAGTCCTCAGAAAATCTCTGTTGAGTGAGAGCGTGTGAGGCAAAGGTGCCAGAGAACCAAAATCCCAGGGGAGACATAAGTCCTCAACCTTGTGTTTTACCACTGCTTACTCCCCATTCTCCCTGGGACACAAGGATGGACTCCAGTGGCCCTGTTGATAAGATTTATTATTCTCCGCTCCGTACAAGCCGCGTCTGCCACCCGCCCCCCACCCCACAATCCAAAAGAGCACCCAGCCACCCCCCTTGTGCCCTCCCAACTCTGCTAGTATTCCACTGTCCGGCCAGATTCCCAAGGAACGGGGAGGGGCAGTTCGGACCCATCTCCACCAAAGCTTACTGGGGGCAGAATGCTGCTGGAGGGGCCGATGAGGGTTACAAAGGAGGGTTGGACGGAGGATCAAGTTCAGTGTCTGATGGGATGAGGGGAGGGCCGAGAGGTCGAGGATGGGAGTGATTAAGTCTTGAGTTTGCAGGGCATGGACCTGGAGGAGGATAGTCTATCTGAGACCCGAAGGATGGGGCAATAGCGAGGAGGGGGAGAGTCTGATCAGCAGCCCGGGAGCGGGGAGTTGAGAAGGGCATCTGATTGGAGTGGCGGATGGGAACCCCCCGCTCAGGCATCCTTCCCAGCCAAGGTGCCTGCCCCTGCTCCAGGGCCCCCGAGGCCCTCTGCCTTGTGTGCCAGGCGGTGTTTCTTGAGGCCGTAGGTGTTGGCGAAGCCCTCGCCGCAGGAGGAGCAGCGGAAGGGCCGGCCGCCCTGGTGGGCCGCCAGGTGCTTACGGAAGTAGCCGGGATCCTTGAAGGCCTTGAGGCAGGCGGGGCAGCGGAGTTCGGGCCTCGGCGGCTCATGGGCGCGCTGGTGTCGCAGCACGGAGCTCAGGTAGAAGAAGCCCTTGCCGCAGTGCTCGCAGCGGTAGGCGCGCTCACCCAGGTGCAGCCGCTGGTGCTCCAGCAGGTTGGAGCGGTAGCGGAAGGTCTTGCCGCAGGCACCGCAGCGCTGAGGCCGGGCCACGGCGTGCAGCCGCCGGTGCTCCGCCAGGCTGGACGACTGCGCAAAGCGCTTGGCGCACACCCCGCACTTGAAAGCCCGCTCGCCCGTGTGCACCACGCGGTGCTGCCGCAGGTACCAGGAGCGCAGGAAGCCCCGGCCGCACACGCCGCACCGGTAGGGCCGCTGTTCCGTGTGGCAGCGCTGGTGGCGCATCAGCAGCGCTGCCTCCCAGAAGCGCTTCCCGCACACGGGACAGCGGAAGCCCCGCTTCTGCCGGTGGCTGCGGCGGTGCAGGAGCAGGTCGTAGGCGCCGGCAAAGCTCTGGCCGCAGAGGCCACAGCCCAGGGTCCGTCGCACCAGGTGCACGTACTTGTGAGTCACAAGGCCCAGGAAGTGCTTGAAGCTCTGGCCGCATGTAGCACAGCTGAAGCGCTCAGGGCCCGAACTGGCACCCCCGCCGGCACCTGCCACCGCAGCCCCGCCTGCGTCTTCGCCCCCGGACACCCCTGCCAGAGCCGCCACGGCCGCCCCCACCTCTCCGGCCAACCCGTTGTCCAGCACGCTGGCCGCGTCGGTGCCACTGGAGCCATCCGGGGCCTGGGGGCCGCCGGGCGTGGGAGGCAGCAGGCGCTCAGGGGCAGCCTGGTGGACCAGCTTGTGCCACATGAGGTTCTCAATGAAGCCGAAGGTCTTGCCGCAGGCGTCGCAGCCGTATGGCTTTTCGGACATGTGGGCTTCCTTGTGGCTCATGACGTGAAAGAGATCTGGGAAGTGCTCGCCACAGTCCGAGCACGCGTAGCTCAGCCCATCGGTGGGCCCTGAGGACCCGGCCGAGGACCCAGGTCCACAGGCCCCCGGCGTGCCCTGGGTGGCCGGGAGTCCAGCAGCCCCGGCCAGGGCGCAGGGCAGCTGGAGCCGGTGCACCTGGCGGTGGCGGGTGAGGCTCTGCGGGTAGCCGAAGACCTTGCCGCAGAGCTCGCATTTGTAGGGCCGCTCACGCGTGTGCACCACGTGGTGCTTGCTCAAGTGGAAGGACTCACGGAAGCGCTTCCCGCACACGGGGCACTGGTGGGGCTTCTCACCAGTGTGGATGCGCTCGTGGCGCTTCAGGGTCTCCCGGCGCCCGAAGCCGCGCCCACAGATGCCGCAGCAGAACGTCTTTCCAGGGACACTGGCGCCAGCGCCTCCCGCCCCGCTGGTCCCAGCCCCGCCCAGCAGCAGCGGGTGTGCCCCGAGGAGCGGGACTGGCACCGCACCATACACTACGGCGGCTGCGGCGGCAGCTGCCTTCTCGCTATCTGTGGCAGAAGGGTCAGGGGGCAGGAGATAAGGGCCCGGGGGAAAGGTGGGCGGGGGCTGCGGGACTGAGGCCGCCCCGTCCTTGGGTGCGTCGGTGGGGGCGGCGGCAGCGGTGGGGGCATGGGCAGCCTTGTGCCGGAGCAGGCTCTGCGGCGCCGAGTAGGACTTGCCGCACAGGTCGCAAGGGTACATGGGCCGAGGGCCCCCCGCCCCCGCCCCCGCGTGTGCCGCCTGGTGCTTGAGGAGGTAGGAGGCGTCGCGGAAGGCCTTCCCGCAGATGCCGCAGGGCAGGCGCAGGAGGTCTGCGGA